TGTCACCACAGCTCGTATAAATGCACCGAAGTGCCACGTAGAATTGCACCGTAGTGCCGCGTAGAAATGCACTGAAGTGCCATATAAGGTTGTCCCTAAGGACCACATATCATTCCTTAAGAATCATATACATATGCCAAGGATCAAGTATGTGTCTCAAAAGACCTCACACATGTTCCAAAGAATACATATATGTCCCGAAGGACCGCGTAGACCCTCGACTCTTGGCATGCTAACTATACCTCTAGCTCGTATGACACATAACATGGGCATTAATATTTATGTTATCACGCATTCACATATACACATAGTCTTTTTATTACATTTTTATAAGATCACACGTAGTCAAGTAGTTCATTTCCATATAAATCACACATACACGTAGATCACTTGCACGTAGAACATTATATAATCATATGATTCACTTTCACTTATCACATATATTTTTTTTCTTTCATATATCTCATGACATATATCACATGGCTCTTTATTTCATTCTCATATGATCACATAATCATGTAGTTCCCTTCTCATATAACTTTGCATGGTTTTACATAAACATATATCATATCTATTCATATATATATATATATATATCCACAAATACATGTAAGCCCATATTTTATCTTATGACTTACGTTACATATGCCTGTAATCTTATGACTTATTGTTAAGTAACTCAAATAACATTGTATTATTACATACTTTGTTCCATAACCATATATTTACATACCTTATAATTACCTAGTTTACACTATTTCACACATAGTCACATAATCACGTAATTTACTTACACATAGATCATTCCATACCTAACTCATATAACACCCAATTCTTCCTCATAAAGTTATATTATATTCATATAATATTATAATATCCTATAAGTAATACTTATCCTATGGTTTGGTATCATCATTTATACTCAATTCCCTTCACTAATATATTATTCTCATATTACTCTATAGTCTAATCTTATTTAACTCATCACCTTTCTCATGTATTCATATAAATATATTATATTGATTCTTATAATTGATCACGTATACTATTAACATGTATGGTCAACTATCATATAACCTATTTCACATTCCCATGTAATCATATAGATCATTCATATTAATTCCTATACTTATCACAATACATGTATTCACACAAACCATTTAATACATATTGTAATATATATATCACATATACCCAAATCAAACATATGTCTATGATCATAAATTAATGCATTCTAATATGGGAAATAGACTCTTCGTAAGCCTTATTTCCATTAAACATCATAAACTAACTTGTATGCACTCACCTGAGCCTCACTAAGTTCCAATCCACTTTTATGCTTTCATCTCTTTCGATCGAATCTTGACTTGATAATCATTCCGGGACTTGTTCGTGCTCAATATCTATATGATCATACATTGATACATATCAGTATTCAATTGATATACGCTAATCTATCATTTCTTAGACCAAAAGAAAGGTATAATTCTATTTCCCTTGAAGTGCATCGATGCATTCTACAGTGTATCGATGTATCTCTTAACATGTGCTTCGACGCACTCCTTATGCATCGATGCATAAATTGTATTCGATGTTTCCATTTTAAGGGTACATCGATGCACTTCCTGTGCATCGATACACATTGAACAATTCCTGGAAATTTACCCTTGATGCATCGGTGCACATAGCCCAACTATCATTTTAGCACGAAAATCATCTCAAATCAACTCAAATTTCATCACCTTTCATATTCTCAACTCATATACACATTTTTAAACCAATTTATATCCATATAAATCATCTTTAACTTCAAAATCCTATATTCCTTATGAAATTCAAGAATCATACTCAATTTCTAACATGTTCCAAATTACATTCTATGGCTCCTAACTTCTTAATCAGACCCCTTAACAAGTCAAATTTAACTTCCAACTCTAGTTATGAACTCTATTTCAAGATTTCACCCAAGAACCTCAAATCTTTAATCCCTCCTAACTCCATCATATTTTGATTTTAAGATAACTTAAGCTTTCCTTAAACTTAGTTATCATCTAATAATCAAAACCCAACCTTAAAATCAACAATTAATCCATAAACAAGAAACTTACCTTTGAGCTTGGAGATACGGGAGGAGGAAGAAGAAGAAAGAAAACTCTGGATAATTCTCCTTTTCCACGTGGTTCCTTATCTTATAAAAGGAATATAAAAAAATCTTACTTATCAATTGACCATTTTACCCTTTAATTCATTCCATAATTACTAAATAACCTTCATCATATTTCCAATAAATCATTGAATTATTCAATTATCCTACTTTAATCACCAATTTCTGAAACTTTACAATTTGGTCACTAACCCGGTATTGAGGATGTTATAATACCTATGTTGGACAAAGAGTGGTTGCCACATTGGACCCAAAGACTCCATTGCTGCTTTGATCCCAACTCCGTGATCAGAAATGACACAGATTTTTCCCTCGTGATAACACGTGCACGTAAATTTCGGAGGAAAAAAGCCCAAGAATCTGTATCTTCTCCTTCGACAAGAGCAAAAGCAACTGGAAGAATGTTGCGATTTCCATCTTGGACAACTGCCAATAATAAAACTTGCTTGTATTTTTCATACAAGAAAGTCCCGTTGATCTGGACCACATGCTTGCAGTATTTGACAGTATTAACGCACTGTGAGTAAGTCCAAAAAACCCGGTAGAATTGGCATCAATCGCGGAGAACTCGATCATTATGGTATGCATAGGAGGTTTCAAAGTCCACAATTGTCCCAGGATTCAACCTCACAAGCCTAAATCAGCCTGAAAGTTCGTTGCAAGATGCATCCCATTCGCCATGAAGTTTGACAATGGTATTTTGTTTTGCCAACCAAGTTTTTTTTATAGGTGACAGTGTACTCATACTGCGGTTGTATAGTTGAAATCAACAGTGCAACAGTTATATGAGAGCTTGCTTTTACCATGGGCATATCACTTCAGAGTCCAAGTTGGGATGATCTTGGTTGACCCCTCCAGCACAACATGTGTGAGGACCGTTGTATACTGTTAGTTCCAATATGTTGTTTTTCCTCTTCATTTTCGATACACGAACCATCCATTTGCATCCGTTTTCGCGTCGGGCCCAGTAGCATACATATTTTTCGATCGTCGATCGATTTACTGGACTGAACAGAATTACGGATATTTTAATTTTTTATAACCATCACCGCTTCTTCTTTGCTTGAAAACTCCATGCTTGAAAACTTCATGCCTAAAGTAACTCACTATTATTTATTAATAAGTAATATCCATAGTCACCGAGATGAGGTATATCCGTAAATTCTGGCCCGTACATTGCACCATAATCAGCTTCATACATGGTGTAGGAGGGTCAGTTTATGCCACATTTCCTGGAACTTCATCATCATCGGAGTTGAATTGCGGTGATTCTGGGTGAATGAATAGTCCAGTCTCAGCACCATCCGCACCAGGCTCACGAAGCGGTTCTTCTAGTGGAGATGATGGTTCCTCCATGCTCTCCACACTTAGGTCGAAGAACATACTTGCACGCCTTCCCCTTGAACTGGAAGGCATATCGACATTGAGATCGAAAAAGCTCGCAGTCGAATGCCTCCCCCTGGAGATTGAAATCATCGTGTCAATTGGAAACTGTACAGATGGTTGCGTCGATGGCATCTCCATATGGTCAAAGAAATTTGCAGATGAATGCCTTCCCCTTGAACTGGACGCGGTGTTGCCATACCGATTGTTCGTGGACCCACCTCGGTACATATCATAAGGAGTTACGGATGAATGTCTTCTCATTATGGCATTAAAATCATTACACATTACTGTAGTCGGGCTGTCAACTTGTTCAGCCCATAGTGGGAGCTTAATGATTGACCCCGAACAGCACACACTTGAACAAAATGTGCATACATCTCAATAGCGGCGTCTGAATAATTACTTTGAGCTTCAACCATCATTTCAACATCATCATTGTTCGAAAGTTCGAACGCTGTATAAGTTAATGACAAATGATGTTGGAAATTTGTACTGCAATGACGACATTCTTCTACTACTTCCAACATGAATCTTCCTCAAAATATTCGTTATCAGCTCCTCAAGAGTTATGTTTCTATTGAATGATATTTTAACACGCTCATTTGATACGAAAGTAACGCCATTTTCATCTTCTCGAATTTCATCATAATAAACAATAGTTGAAAGTCGCGACATTCTTTGAGTTTAAAAGTGCGGCAATATTATATCTGTAAAAAATAACTGAAACAAACCTGATTAAATAAATTATATATGAACGAAAATATAACACAATAAATTTTTACACATCAATGTAAATAAATTAAATAATATAATTTTATATTATTACATGCACTGTAAAACTATTTCGACGTATACTCTCGCTTTTCAATTTTACAAACATAAAAATTAATTGAAAATAATTAGTATATTTTTTCAAATAATCATAATAAATAATAAGTATAATAAAAAATTATAATAAAATTACCTATTAACGAAAAATCGCACGAACTTCTAAACTAAATATGAGAAGATTGTCAAAATTATTGACTCGTTGACGAAATTATTGTATTAATTTATAAGTTGAGAGGAGAGATGTGAGGAACATAACCGGGGGAGAAGGGTATATATAGACATACAAGGCGCGGTACTTGCACCGTGATATATGTAATTATGGTATAGCGCGGATCAGGGTCCGCGCTAAATATAATTGTCTAGATACATAGATATAACGCGGTTCAGGGGGCGCGCTATACCCCACGTGTAACCCAGTCAGCATAGCGTGCCGCGCTATACCCACGTGGCGCCAAATCAGCGTATAACGCTGGTCAGGGGGCGCGCTTTACTGCTACGGGTGTTAGATCAAAAAATATAATCTGACCGGTATTAGATCGATAAATATACTGATCACCGATGATATTTCGAGAAAAACGCTTGTGAGAACACCCTTGTGTTCTCTTTTTAATTTTTTTTAAAAAATAATAAAAATTTCCAAATAAATTCAAACATTAAAACAAAAAATCCGTTTCAGCTTATCCGAGTGACTCTATTTTGGATTTAGTGGATTTCTGTTCATATCATGCGCTGCAACTCAACTTTCTCTTCTGTCTATTATTCCCGATTTTCACTTATTAGCTTTTATTTTTCTTTTCTCTCTCTTATTTGCCTAAGAAAAGATAAAAAGAAAAATGGGTCCTACTTGAATCCATGGAAGAACACTCCTATTTCTTCAACTTCATCCCACCACTACCTTTGCTTCAGTTTTGGGGTGCTTTTCCCTTTGCTTTGATTTCTTATATATCTTTCTTAAACAAAAGAAGAGACCTTGATTTGTGCCTTAAAACAGATTACAACTTACCAAATTTTACTATTAACAAAAGCAATATATAAACACATATATATACACACTGCTTGGAAGCTTGTATGGCTTGCTTTCTTCCTCTCTTTTTTCTCTTTATATCAAACTTGATTAAGTTCTTTTGGATTGGAGTAGTTGACCCTTTTCTTTGAGGTAAGAGGAGAAAACAAGTTCAGCTTTTTGTTTATTCTATGCATAAAAGTTTGCAACTTTCTTCTTTACTTTTCTTATTCCAAGTTCGATTTCGACAGTCTTTGCTTAAATAGCAATTGGTTCCCAGTTTTTGTGCAAATTTTCAAGAACCGGTCAGTTTTCTGGTTTGAATTATGTCTTATGTTGTATGTGATTTGCTCATGATCTTGATGTCGATGAAATCAGATTCATAAACAAAAGCATATGTTCTTGTTGATAACTCACTTATTCCTTGATAAAGTTATTATTCCATTCCGGTTCTATGCCTGGTTAGATAGCCAAATCACTTACTTTGGATATCATTATGTCACACACATACATACATACATACATACATTGTCCAGGATATTTTAACAACAGCTAGCTTCCCTGGGATGTTGGAAGGTTTCAGAATGTTCATATACATACCTTTCTCTGTATCTTTTCCAGTGTGAATTAGTTCAAATTGCAAATTTCAAGCCTAAAGATCGTTCCCCTTTTATGAATGCTCTCCATATAACCCTTTTATGTTTTACATGGAGTGTTACCGAGACCGGTTTTCGGGATGTTTACATCGGATTTTCTTTAGTACACCTATTTAATCGATTTGTTGCGGTGTTGCCGTTGTGTATTTGCTTCTGTTCTTTGGTTATATCTTGAAGTAATTCTTCATCTTATTCTGCAGATTTCTTGTGAAAGTTCAAGTTCGACTAATTGGAGGCTTATATATTTTTCGTGGCAGAAAATGGCAGCAATGTGTGCCCGTCATTAGGCTCTATATCTTCAATCCGAGACCGAAGATGGACAACACGTTTGGCAGTGGTCAGAAGGATGAGCAGGGGAAAGACGAGTCGTTGCAGAACTTGGAAGAAAACATGGATATCTTGGCAGAGAATGGGACGGATTACTCCGAATTAAATCGAGAAAGCTGGTGAGAAGGGCAAATCCACAGCATGCTCTGATGATAAATGCTGGTAAACGGTTAGAAGGGAGAAAGTCTTTTAATGGATTTGTTTCTTCCGAGTATTTTCAGCATAGGCGACATGGTTCCGAGGCATGTGGTTACCCTAGATGAGAAATACCTTCGACGTTGTGTCGAATTGATTCGTATCAATGCAGCAAAAGCAGCTCAATGCAACTTATCTGTAAACTTGTGCTCGGTAAAAATGGGGATGTTATCAAATGGATTGCATTCAGCTAAATTGGAGATGAAGATACTTGTGAATTCAGAAGGTTTGTTTTCGACTGTCCACCTGCAGCTGGGACCGATGGAGTAGTCATCCGTCCTGTAGAACAGTGGGTCATAAGTTCAAAAAGGGGCAGCCGGAGTATGTCGAATATGTTGAAGAGCCCATTGTTACGGAAATTTGGTGCGTCGGATGTCAATCCAAGTTGAATGATGTTAAAAGATCGGTAAGTTATGACTTCATGAACTCTCCTGGTGGTTACAATAACTATTCCTCGCATAAGCTAGGAAGTGAAACACCCTTATCCGAAAATCGTAAACTCGGATCCAAGACCGTGCATAAAAGGCCTGTTCCCATGTCGAGTTCAAGCACAAAATGCTCCGATCAGTCCTCTTCTTCTTCTTCAACAACAAGTTATCAAGGAATGCTTCAATGCACATGGAAGGGTGGGAATCCATATTTCATTTTCTCCTTGGATAATCAACGGGTGGTATATGTAGCCAATTTGTCAAAGGAAGGATCAGCTCGGGGTAGGGGTCCGGACTGTATGTACTTGTTCCATTCAAGAAAGGGAAGTCACAAGGAACATGGGATTTCCGATGATTCGAACCTTGTCGGTAAGATGAAAGTATTGAATTCTTTCTCGATCTGTCCCCAAGGTTCTAAAGTCAAGGAGACGGAGTTTGTTCTGTTTAGTGGTATCAAAACTTTTAATCCAGATATGCAAACTTCAACCTATAACCACAGGAAGAATAAGGGTCTACCAAAAAAGATGGTGGAAGTATTCAAGAGCAGTCACTCGTCCAAGCCGAGCACAGCGTCGAGACTTCAGCCTATTTCCATAATGGAGGATTCTTCTTGGATTCAATGCCAAGATACAGTCAGCAATTCCGTGTCACTCAATACGATGAATCACTTGGCGGAAGAACTTCCACCGAACCTTGAATTGGCTGCTGTTGTGTGTGAGGGACCATTTGCCTACAAAACCACTGCCTGACATCGGGGGTTGGGGCTTAAACTTTCTCCGGAAAAAGGGGGAAGCAACATGTTGAAACTATGGAAGCCTCGGTTCCATGTGCTTGTTCTGTGAATGATTGCTCGACAAGTACGGATATTCTAGTTCCAGCAGGTATTCACGGTGGCCAAGAAAGGGAACTGGTGGCCCATCTAGTCTTATCGACAGATGGAGATCCGGAGGACATTGTGACTGCGGCGGCTGGGATTTGGGCTGTCCATTTACTGTACTTAAAGGCAGATCAAGTAAAGAACGAGGTTTACCTTCGATAGATACTTCGGATGCAAGCAAGCCATTCGATGTTTTCATTCAGGTATATCAGGCTATATCTTTCCCATCTTTTACAACTATGATTTAGCCTACTTGAAATGTTAATGTCGAACAACAACAGATGATATAGCCCCGAATAATCATTGTGATATCCATTGCCTTGACTTCAAAACCTTTTCAGGGCTCGAAGCACGGTTCTCCGATGTTGAGGATAGCACATGTTCACGATGGCCTTTATTTTGTTCATTTTCAATCACCACTCTCAGCCCTGCAGTCTTTCTCAATTGCAGTGGCATACATCCATTCTCGAAGTCTGAATTTCCGGCCGAAAAGTGTAAAGCCGTCGAGGTAGCAAGATCCGGGTCTGTCGAATAACCTCAACACCATGCCACAGCAGTTTGTAAGTTTGAAAATTTAGGTAGTTATACACGAATCGAGATCGATATCTCTTATATAGGTTGTTTATAATAGAATTCGGGACTTGAGCTGTTCTAATAACCAAAGATATTGTAATTTGTATGCTTTTTGATTGAATCTACAAGTTTTAGGTTTCGAGTGATTTTATACCAAATGTGTTCAAGAGTTGTGAGCCACCAATAATCTCGACCGGAATCTCACGGTACGGTCTTATTGCACATAATTAAACCTTATAGAACTAATGATTAAGTAATATACTTTCTTTGAGTTACGTATAGAACTATGATGTTAAAAATTAGTGTTAGAAGTAAATTTAACAGTTGAAAACAGAGCATAGCCCTAAGCTTTTTGTATTTTGTTAATTTTGACATTAATTATTTTTTCTTTTTTATCCGTAATTTTCTATGATTATGATTTTCTCCTAAAAATCTCTGTGCTTTCATTTTCTTTCTTGCTATTTTTTTGATCCTTTCTAATGATATTATCTACTAACATAACGAAGTGCAATACTTGAAAGAGCAAGCAATTGCAATTGCACTTTGAGTTTGATGATTTCATTATCCAATGTTGTAATTTTCTTTAAAACTATGATTAATATTATATATTCTTTAAAATAGCATCAAATCGAATATCATATATAATTACATTTGAATATCTCAATGTTTCATTCGAGTGTCTCAAGAGATTGATAGAATACTTTTATTTTAAATTGAGATTTAAGAAAATAAAAATTTAAATTTAAATATATATAAATAAATAAATTTAAAATCAAACAAAATTTAATTATTCTTAATTTAATAAAATCATATAATTTATTTTTTTATTTATAATCAATATCAAAATCTAAAAATAAAATTATCAATCAAAATACCTTTTTAAAGAATTCAAAAAAAAAGCTGTAATTTTTTTGCACTAAATATTTGCCAAGGCCCAATTGTAAGGGAGAAATCATCAGCGCCTCCAACAGTACCGAAAGGAGCAACCTGAAGAAAAGAAAAACCCTAATTCGCTGTCTATATAAAAGCTTAAAACCCGTACCATTTGCAATCTGTTTCGCTTCAGTCGTAAAAAATGTCTAAGCGAGGTCAGTATCCTTCTCTTCTTTCTCTGTCCATGTATCTTTTGTTCGTGTTATTTTCATTTTCCGTTTGTTTCCCGAGAAAAAAAGCCACGGGATGAATTCTGCATTTTCTTTATATTTGGTATTTATGATCCTAAACTTGTAAAAAAGAACCCAGAGTAAGAAAACCCAGAAATGAAATTATTTATTTCTTCAATAGCTGTTTAGCCTATTTAAAACGCTTAAGGTTCATAAAAATGTAAAAAAGAGGGAGAATTTATGTGGGTTATTGTTTATTTCTATGAGATGTTTGATAGCTGGGTGTTCTTATTTTGGTGATTAGGACGTGGAGGGTCAGCTGGAAACAAGTTCAGGATGTCACTGGGTTTGCCAGTGGCAGCCACAGTGAACTGCGCTGATAACACTGGTGCTAAGAACCTTTATATCATCTCTGTGAAGGGAATCAAGGGCCGCCTTAACCGTTTGCCATCTGCTTGTGTCGGAGATATGGTTATGGCTACTGTCAAGAAAGGGAAGCCAGATCTCAGGAAGAAGGTCTTGCCTGCTGTCATTGTGAGGCAGCGCAAGCCCTGGCGCCGAAAGGATGGTGTTTACATGTACTTTGAAGGTAAAATCTCATACTGGATTTGTAGTGTTAGTTTTTTTTGTTATGCACTATGTTATTTAGGATTGGTTTGAATGTAGGATGTTTAGTTATCAATTCCTTGTATATGGATATGCATGTGCATTGGACATGGTAGTAGCTAAATAAAGGATCGGGAAACATATATTACCTAATACCTGTGTGCTGTTTATGAGACTATTTACTGTGAAGTAGAGGCTTTGTTGGTTAAGCGGTGTCATGATATGTGCATTAACATGCACTTTATTTTGCTTCCCGAGACCAGTAATGTGAACCCAAATGGTCGAATAACTTTTGAGTGAGGTTTCTCTCGTTTGGGATCCCACGTTTTGCGATTTGGTATGTTTGTTTGCATTCTTCATTGTGTTTTGTAGACTATTGTAATGGTTTTCTGTGGTGTTTGTGTTGGTGATGTAGTGTGGAGAATTTCCTGTTAAGATAGTGGCTATGCTGGTTGAGAGGTGTCATGTTTTGTGTTTTAGGCTGCATTTACAATGATTTGATGCTTCCAGTGACTGGCATCATAAACTAATTTGATACATTTGTTCTCATTTGGCCTTTTTTATAGACTATTATGGTTTTTATGCTGGTGATGTAGTGTGGGGAATTTTATTTCAGCATTTCTCTACACCTCCCATAGCCAGCTAAATTGATTTACCTACCTTATCAATACCAGGTGGTAACCATTGTTATCATCCCTGTCCAGGTTGGGACATTTGAAATAAAATGTTAATCACGCTATCTTGCCATCCCCTTTTAAAGTTCTTAATGTTTTTTCTGGAAAGTTTTTATGCCAATTAGTTAAACCGATGTTATATATTACTAGACTTAAGTCAGGTATCCACTTGAGTGTTTGATTGTTGCAGATGCATTAAGTTTTTGAAGCTTGCATGTGCTCCATTTGGTCTCTACATGTTTATAGTTAGTTAAAATAAGTCTGTATAACCAGACATAAGTCAGGTATCTACACTAGTATTCAATGGTTGATACAGTTGTTTGGAAAACTCAGTGCGTCCATCATTGCAGATGCATTAACTTCTCAATGCTTGCATGTGCTCCATTTGGGCTCTACATGTCATTAAATGTTCACTTAGAACTTTTTCTATGATTGCCCATTTTGTTTTTGATGTTTATAAACATAAAGTTTCTAATTCAAACCTTGTTTTTACTTGCAGACAATGCTGGTGTCATCGTGAATCCAAAAGGAGAGATGAAAGGTATGACGTCAAAAAAAATAATTACCATGTGCCCTGAATTCATATTTTCCTGTGAAGTGTTTATGTTGTACACTTGAGGCTGTCTTTTATTAAGATATTACAAATGACATTTTTCTTACTGATAAATTTAGGTTCTGCCATAACTGGTCCAATTGGAAAGGAGTGTGCTGATCTATGGCCAAGGATTGCAAGTGCAGCAAATGCCATTGTTTAGGAATTCTAAGTTGTGGAAGATTGTTTCTGCTTCTTTCGACTGAGTATAGTGTGCTGGTTCAATACTTGGTGTTTGTTTCTAAATTAATAGATTTTGGATGGTTTTGATTTGATTTTGGATTTGAAAATGAATGTACTTTATGGAAGCCCCTCAAATTTTTATTCATCTATATCTTTGGTTTAATGATGTATTGAGAACTTTGAGAATCAGTTGTATACTCTTTGTACATGTAATTGTGATCATAGTGAGCTAATATCTGGTAAATATAACCTGTGAACGCTAAGTTTGTAGAGGCTATTACAGATCCATCTATCATAGCAGGATGTTAACCATCAGGAATAGGGATGGGCACAGGATCCAAACCTGATGGGTTTTGACCTAACTCGACAATCAGGTTGGATTTTTAAAAGTTTTCACGTTTAGGTTGGGCCGGGTTGTGTTTTTAGAGATAATGTTTGGGTTGAGTTTAGGATGAAAAATATTTAACCTAACCCGAAAAATGTAATTTTATCTTTTATTTAGAGATATTTATCATAATACCACTCTATATATTTATTTGTTTCAATTAAATCTTAATTTTTATTAAGTAAAAGTAGTTTTTTTATAAATATATTATTTCGTGTTGAGTTTGGACTTTATTAAATGAAAGTAATTTTTTTATAAGTATATTATTTTATATACTCAATTCATAGTTTGAATTGTTTGTGAATTGTTTGCAAAATTTCTATTTATTTTTATTATTAAGCTAAATAAATGAATACAAACAGAATTCATGTTTATTTAATAAACATACAAACAAAAATAGAGATATGTTTTGTTTGTTTATGCTTATATTTTAAACATTGGTAAAGGCTTTCGACTCATTTATAAGTTTATTTATCTGATTTTTCCTTTAAACTCATCTGAAAGTTCGGCTTTCGACTCATTTATAAGCTTTCAACTCAAAATTTTGAAGTTCAAAATGTGAAGTTTAAAGAGTTTAAGGACTAATGATAAAATTTCATCATTTTTAAATGAATATGTTTGTTAATACTAAATAAACATGTTAGTAATCATATAAATTAATATGTTTGTGAATGAAAAATACATGTTTGAGAATTCAACCGAACCAAATATAAATATCTTAAAAAATAAATAAATAAACACAAACATAATATTCAAAATTTATACACTGAGGATGAGCATCTTAGAAAATGAATAATCAATCATAAATATAATCTTATTCGTTCAAATTTAAATCATTTACATCTTCAAAAATAATTTCTTTAGTCGAAAGTTTTTTTTTGATAAATCTAGAATGAGTACATAACAACATTTGTTTAAATATTATCAATCATTTGATAACAATAAATCATTTAATCACTAACATTTAATTTATACTTTTTAATTAAAAGTTAAAATTTTTAAAAATAATTATTTTCATTATCAAAAATATTTTACATAAAAAATGGATTAAGATGGTTAAAATTTTGGATAAAATTATCCAATATTCTATCTTATCTGATAATAGTTGAGGTTAAAACGCCATATAAAGAAGTTTAAATCTCACAGTTATGATCAAAGTTCCATCGACTTCTCCTCCAACGTTGACACCTCACCCAATAAATCATTCCTGCTCAAACCTCGTTATTTTTTGCAGCTCATTTTTCCATCACTTTCCCGGGAAAAAAAAATTTTAGCTGATTGATCTTTTTTTTGCCTGCTTCGAGATTCTCTAAAGTTTCATGCTTTTTTCCAGTTTCCCTCTTGGAAATTGAATTTGCATTTTATGGTGTCAAAAAACAAAGGGTTGACTTTATTCTTGGGTTTTATCAGATTGAAGGATTCCACTTTCCACCTGTTTGAAAATACCCAGAATCAGATAAATTCTTGAATTTTGGGGGTTAGGGTTTGATCATTCATCTCCTTTTGCTTTCTGGGTAGCTGGGCTTTTTTTTTTTTAAATTAAATCACAGTCTTATACAGAGATCTGTCCCTCTCTTTTTGCAATGGTTTTCTTTGAGCTTTGAGTTGATGAAAGTCTTGTTCTTTTTCACCTTGTTGACCTAAGGGGCTTTATAATTTATTATAAAAGGCCCTATTTCTTTTGATCCAAGTTATCAGTTGATTTCAAAGTTTTATTTTAGTGGAATTGTCAATGGGTGATATCCATAATGATGTAAAAGATGTTAATGGGCATAAAAACAACAGCTTAAGTGCCATAGATTCTGCAGAAGCTGAAGACCATACTGATGGAGAAGATTGCAGTGAGTCAACTGTTTTATTGGTGCCTAAAAGAGGTGGGATGTCAAGAAAATCTGATAATACAAAGCGAAAAGTCCAATGGAATGATAGGAATGGGAACAAACTTGTGGAGATCATTGAATTTGAACCAAGGTAATTGGTGTTTTTGGAAGTTTATCTTCTGACATAGCAGTGCTTTTGTTTGATTCTGAAGCATTTTGATCATTTTGGCGGTTTCTTTATGTTGTCAGTTTGCATATTTTGTCACTAGTGATATTTCTGTTTTGAGTTGTGAATACATGTGCATTGTCGTACACTTGTTTGTATCTGCAAATCTCTAGCTAAATGATAGTCCTGAGAATAGAACAATTGGGGTACAAAGTTTACTACTTTATGTTTCATATAGTTTCACTTTTTTATGTTATGTTGGATCTATGATTGTAGAGAAGGATTCTCTTAAACCGGAATTCCCTTTTGAGGGTTTGCAGGGATGTTCGTGATATTAATTATTGGTTTATGTGAATTTTTTGCTCGTTGTTTGCTATTCGAATTCAGTTGTCACTCCTTGTAAAGTTTGTGTTTGCACATATACCTCTGTTGGGTACTTTCTTGAAGCATTAGGATTTGTTTTGCACATTTATTCAAATGTTTTGTTCGCATTAGCTACGGACAGTATCTGAAAAAAATAACATTCTGAATTCTGGGGGCATATGTGCTTTTATGTTCTGTTTCTCTTAGCTTGGCATCTAGCTACCCAAGTATGTTGAAACGCAACTACTGACTATATATATTAGAGAATACAGACTGAACTGTTGACGGGGTATCGTGCTATGATGTTCTGTTTCTCTTAGCTTGGCATCTGGCTATCCAAGTATGTCCTAAGGCTACTGACCATTTATTAGAGAATACAGATTGAATTGCTGACAGGGTATCATGCTTTGATGTTCTGTTTCTCTTCCTATCAAAAAAAATGTTCTGTTTCTCTTAGGTTAGTATATGCCTGCCAAGTATGTCATAATGCTACTGACCATAGATTAGAGAATACAAATTGAACTGCTGACAGGGTATCGTGCTTTTATGTTCTGTTTCACTTAGCTTGGCATCTGGCTACGAAGTATGCGCTACTAATTATAGATTAGAGAATACAGATTGAACTGCTGACAGCTTTGTTTGCTTTTTCTTGGTGTATTACTATGAATTACTTGAGTAGGATTCTATTGTACAGATATATGATATTTTCTATCTAGTTTCTTTTTGTTTTTTTATATATGTCGAAAAACCGATTAAGTAGAACAATTTGACAGAATTCTTGCGTAACTTGTTCAGTGGATAAAACTATCTGATGATGATGATGATAAAGATTACTGCATGTGTACAATAATGTAGATAGTGCTGCTTTCAACTCCCTTTAGAAGGATATTTAATTGTCCGGAAGCTAACCCGAGGCAGTCTTCTCATATTTTAGCAGCTTATTAACAGAAGAGAGTTTCACGGAAAAGCCCAAAAAAAAGAGTTGCGTTTGTTGATACATATGAGTTGGAAACATTGTTTTAGAGGTAGCATCCCACTACACAGAAATGAGATTGTCGACACTTGAATCTTTATTTATGGTATGTTTTTCGCTCGTCGAATGTTAATAATCTCCATAGTGAGCTTTGTTAGTATTGTTAATGTTATGTCGGGTCGGATATGAATATGTTTCTTTAGAACTTCTGAATGATATCACAATATTCTTGTAGTTAGAGAATTATCAATGTTCCAGAGTGTATAAACTATGCATATTTGGTTGACACTGTTTAGAACACAAACTTCAATTATTGAACATTTTTTTTATTACAAATTTTCTGTAAGAACGGATTGATACGTAGACGAAATTCTGTTTCGATCGTATTTTCATCGAAAGTAGACATCGGAGATTTGCAATATTTGATCGAATTTCGATTGCGGACCAATTTCGACCGATGATAGGTATCATAGCTTTACAATATTTGATTGAATACAGTCAAACTTGCAAATATCAAATGATTGCCGGATTTTTCTTGGAGTAGTCTTATTCCACATCCTAGTCTACATTCATATTTTAATCCGGTAACAAATTATTTATCGGTTCAATATCGTCGTTTTTCAATATTCGGCTAACGACTAAATAATCATCGCAGCTTCCTTTTGAATTATGTATCTATAATCAATTTCATTTTCTTATCTGCAAAAAACCGATACACCGTCGTTTCTTCGTCGAGAATCGGATCATACATTTGAACGTTCAAGTCAAACCCGTGTTTTTCTCGGTTTGATGCTAGTCTCTCCTTAAACTTGTCACTGCAGTTAACAAAGAATCCGGTTACATTATTTTTTGAAATAAAACCGATATTACATTACTCTGATTCGAATATAAGTAGTATCAGATAATGTTGTATGCAGGGATGGACTGAAGGATAGTTAGGGCAACCGTCCTCTAAACTCAGGGCAAGTATGCAGGGATGAACTGAAGGATAGTTAGGGCAACCGTCCTCTAAAATTTGTCTCTAAGATAAAATTCGGACAACTTTTTAAATAAATTGAAAAATGAAATTGAACTACGGAATAAGAAGATATAAACCAGTAGCTGACCTGAGTTGAGAACTGAAGGGACGAAATTTTCTTGAGAAAATAAAGAATCTAAACATTCATGGCTATCAATTTTCTGGGGAAAAAACATTAATCAGGCATTAACGAAACCGAAACTTTGAAGAGAAGCTCTGAATAAAATGGTTTCAAAAAGCTTACTGAGTTTCCAGGAAGAACTCGTTCGGCTGAGTTCTGAAGTTTTATTTTCGTCGGAACTCGAAAACATCTAAGAAAACAACCCATTTTACTGAATCTCTCTGGTTCACTGGAATCTATCAAATTATTGATTTTAAATTCAATAATAATTTATCAAAAAATTAAATTCAATAATTAAA